TTTGTATCCTTCAACCTTGGGAATAAACAAATAGCCCTCATAATGAAATCTATTAAGCAGGGGCGTTCACCAAGCGAAGAAGAAGCAGCATCAACGAGAAACAACAATGAAGAAGAAGAAGAAGAAGAAGAAGAAGAATGGGGTTAATTCTGAAAATTCTATTTTGGTTTCAACTCATTTGGTAAGAATTTTTTGAATTTGCCTTGAGAAGAAGATATTATGTAGTGTTCTCTTATTAGGTTATATCCATTAAATAGTATTTCTACTTGGATGATCTTTGATTTATACCTACTATTTGGAAAATTGTACAGATTTTCATAATTGTCGAGAACAAACCTAGGGCGTTGACTGGAGTTAGAAAAAAAATTGCACTCAATTTGTCAAAAGCAATGTGATACTCGCGTAAATTTTGGAATCTTGAAATTAAACATCAGCTTAAATTTTATGATTCTATTCTGATATTTAAAGAGGGTTTGATTTTAAATTTCAAATCTCATCTTCCTGAGTTGCCTAAGAATTTGAATTCAATTGTGAACATCTATGACTTTGGATGCTTTTAATTGTTCTATGTTTTGTGGGGATTGGATTGTTGATGTTAAAAATAAATAAATAAATAAATAAAAGATTCTTTTAGGTTGCAGGAGTAATATCGAATCTTATTGGTTTGAATTTAAGTTATAGGTGTAGTTACTAGTTATAGTGCATCTGGAGGTTAATTGACTTAATTCTATATCGATAATGAAGTAATAAAAGGACTAAATTACATCCCTATTTGAATACCAAAATGACAACATTTTAAGAGTATATGAATTATGGATAAATTAGAATTTTTACGGTGCACTAAATGGAAGAAAAATTTTGGGTGAGTTTTGAATATGCAGAGTATATGGTACATTCCTTAATTTCTAGAATAGTTGAAAAATATTTTATTATCATGTTGCACTAAGTCTTCCAACTTGATCCTTATCTAGCTCAAAATTTGTATAATATAACTAAAAAGAGAAAGCACAAAGAAATAAATTGATCTCTTGTCTTGCTAGGAAACATATCCTAAGAAAATTCTTGGATATTATTTGCCAGCCTGATACCCTGGAACTATTTTTCTAGTTGGTAATGCAAAGAAGATGAAAATCTCCAAACATTAGGTAAAACTTCATTAAGTTCATTAGGAAAAGTGGCCCAACTTTCTATTCTTGGACCCTTTAACTTTTCAAGAATACTAAACTCTCTCTCTCTCTCAAATGTCAAAGAAGTGGTAGACAAGCATGTAGGGAGATTTAGTATAAATTTTTAGTTTCAAGCATGTTTACTCACACACAACCTAGATTTATGTTCAATTAAAAGTCTCAATGAGACTCAAATTCTAAAATGTAGGGAGGAGAGAGTGAAGGGCTTAAACATGAGTAAATTTATGAATTATCATATTGAGGAAAATGGTGTGAATGTAATAACTAGAGCATTTAATTATTTATGATGGAATATGCTTTTTTCTCAAAATCTCCTTCGCCAACGGATTGTTTAAGTTGCTTTTTCACTGAAATCTTCAATCTGACACAGTTACATATTTAAGTCTCATTGCCTAGCAAGGTTTAACCAACTAAACAAGGAATACCAAAACCACTAAACAAATTGTTTCTTAAGCTTTTTATTAAAATTAAATATTCACTTGTTCATATTTAATCAATTATTTCACTTTGTTTACCATTATTTATTATCTTTTGGGTGTGATTGTGGTATGTACATAATAAAATATATAGAATTCTTGAGCATCGACAGTCTAGTAGAACAAGTTAATGGCTTCTATGTGAATAAATTGGGGGAAAAGTGGCTACCAATACTTTTGCACTTTCTTGTTATTTCATAAATATCAATCTGTGTTACTTGGTTTTCCATAACTTTCTATTTTGTACCATTGATTGAAATATTTATTTTTTAATTTGGCTTTTTCTGTTAAGTTTCTTTTTCTATTGTACTGTCAACTTATTTTCTAATTTGGCTTTTTCTCTATAAATCTTGCAGAAAGTTCTATAAATATAAAGGCTTTGATGAAGTGGAAGAGGTCTAAAATGACAAAGAAGACAATTTGAAGCTGTGGGGCAAGGTGAAAACTCTAGAACCTTTGTAGCCATGTGCAAAACCAAGAAGCTCATTTCCTGGTAATGTGTGCAAGTCTCTATTTATCTGTCTTGAAATTACTACCCTGTCTACTAACAAATTGAATATCATTGATTACTATTATCGATGGAAAATTGTATCTTTAGTTTTAAATAATCTTATTGTCTATATAATTCACAAGATCCATATTTATGTTTACATTATGCATTCTTGCTATGTTATTTGTTTTTCATATTTACACATATATTCGCATATGATGATTTTTAAACACTTCCATTGTGCGTATAGAAATTATAGAGATTGCCATGCTTGGTGGAAATGAAATTCAATTCAGAAGTTTTTAAGAAAATTCATAAGATAAATTAAAGAGAGAGAAAAATGTAATTAGTTAGATGTAATCCTTACATTATTTTGTGCTCTTGGATAAGAAAAGATGTTTAGAGAAAGCCATTCAAATTCTTTTTTATATTCACCTTGCATTTTGATGATCGAAATCTTTGTTGTTTACTATGATATCATTGCCTTGTTGTGGTTTTCATATTGTATTGCATGTCTGAATGAGTTACTAATATTGTCATGCCATTTGTAGGATGGAATACATATACATTCGTAATCAATGTAATGCGAAGGTCACAACACGTTCCAACATGTCAAATGTGGAGAAAGTACATGATGCATTAGACTATGTACATAACATGTCAAACATGGAGAAATTACACAATGCTGATATTTTTGCCCTTGATTATGATCTATAGGACATTTTGATGTACTGCAGTCGTTTCAGAGGATCAAACTTCTAACATTATAAATCATGTTTGATTTCGACTTTTTAGTTTAATATGAATAAAGAAAAACTTCATTATATACAATTCATCGTGCTCCGCTAACAATGTTATATTTTTGCTATTTTAGCTCGAAATAAGTTTGAAAATATGATTTATGATCTGAGAAACGTGATCACTGTTACTATCAGCAAAATAAAGCTTTTTATTAGTAACATAGAAGCTAGTGAACATATGATTTTTATTAGTAACATAGAAGCTAGTAAACAAGCTTGAATAAACGGAATATTTCTGTAGTTAAAAGACGAGATGTCAATCAAACGTGTAACCTTATAAGTTAAATAATTTATAACATTTTAAATTGTGTTTAGGTTGCTTTCAAAATATTTTCACTTCAAAAAAATGTATAGAAAAAACTTGTATATGATGAAAAAGATATATGAATCTGTAAAATGACTCCAGTCATTTTAAACGGCTGCAGTCATTTTTTTGTTACAATTGAAAACGACTCCAATTGTTTTAAATGACTGTAGTCGTTCTAAGAGAAAACGCTTCAATCATTTAAACGACATGGGCTATTTTCATTCATCATTTGTTTTATGAAATAAAAGAACATGAAAAACAATGTCCAATATTCATAAAATACAAATTAGGTATGAATTATGATAAAAACGAAGAACATAAAGCGTACATTGTAATATATATGGGATTGTGCTCCACTACACTCTGTTCTATTACTCCTTATTCAATTTTTAAGTATATGACTTACAATTGATTTCGATAAGTTAAACCATCATGTATAATAAAAGAGCCAATTGTACTTCTGACCTTTTAGAATGTATATGATTTCG